TCAGTCTAATACCTCGTCTCTCCCATGCTTTCCTTCGGAGCCTCCCAAACACTGAGCTAGCTCTGGAAATGCATGTGTCAACTTCATCAGCAATGTGCACATCCCTGGAAAGTATACTGTCAAGGTAAGTGAACTTATCCACAGCATTCAAAACTTCTTCATTTGCTATGACTGATGGTTCCACATTATGAATGGTGTGGTGCTGGCTGATGGAGCACCTGTGTTTTCTTGGTGTTAATTATTAGCACAAGCAGCAAAGAATTGATCCACACTTTGCTGTATCTCAGCTTAAAAAGCAGCACTGAGTACACAATCAACTGCAAACAAAAAAATCATACACCACCACTCCCTGCACTTTGGTCTTGGCTTGTAGCCTTTTCCAAGTTGAAGAATTTACCATCAGTGAGGTAAGTAACCTTGATGTTTGTCCTCATTGAATGCTTTTGACAACGTGGTTGAAAACATCATGCTAAAAAGCATGGAAGCAAGCACACAGTCTTGTTTCACTCCATTGATGATTGGGAAATCATGAGAGCATTGTCCATTATCCAGAACACTGTCATGAAACTGACATACAATACCGATGAACTTCTCCAGGCAACAAAATTTTGACATAGTTTTCCATAAACCCTCATGACTGACAGTATCAAAGGCCTTGGTCAGATCTATAAACATTATATACAGACCTCTGTTCTGCTCTTGGCATTTCTCCTGTATTTGTAGGGCAGCAAATAACATATCAACCATCCCTTGGACTCACTGGCTTCAGATTATAACTATACTACTCAGCTCACAGATTACAATAACTGTACTACTTATCTCACATGTATATTCTAAGCCTTAAAATGTTATGTTACTATTATGAAAATATGTTCAATACTTTGTTAGGAAAAAGGGATAAAAATAAGAGATATACAACTAAGGCAACTCAAAGTTGAACTTTTTAAATGACATGTTAATGCTGAAAAGTGGAGAATGGACCAAAGAATAGTAATCAGCACAGACTATCACCATTTCCCAAGGAAATTTAACTAATATAAATCAATCATCACAATGACGATACCAAAAGAGTATAGAAACTCACTCAGCTAGCAAACACTTAACTCTTTGTCAAATGGAAAGATACAACCACCAAGGATAACACCTGTTTGTAACAAACTTATTTGTAAAATCTTAGAAAGATGGCAGAAGATTATGAGCAGTATTACCTTAAAAACTAGAAAGAAGCAGTGGGGAAAAAACGAGTTTTCAGAAAGCATAGTGAGAAACACAGCTAAGCAAGATCATGCCATGGACGTTTAAGGATGAGACTGGAAAGGGAATAATTAGACAGAAAAAGTGTGGGGAGGACTCTCAAAATGTTTGTAGTAAAATATTTCCTTCATTCAATGACAGTGGATCCAGTACATATGGATTCTCTCACAGTCCTTGTGCATGAAGAAATAGAATTGGCTTTAAAGAGAATAGAGATGGGAGGAGCAGTTGGACAACATAGACAATACACAATGACTGGAGGCTACACATTTTTGAAGGTATTAAAGTATCAATCCTCAGCAAATCTGAAAGAAGGAAGGACATCAAGCACATGGAAAAGTTCATAGATCATTTTGTTCTATCCCCTTCCCCAAAAATGCAAGGAAATATCAACAGCTACCAAACCATATGCTAACTTTTCAATTTCTACTGAATTCTTATGAGCACAATCTACACATATACTGAGGACACCTTTGATGAAGTTATGAGGAGGAAAAAAGACATGTTTTTACAAGTGATGTTCTGTATCACACCACATGTTTGTAGTCAAACAATTGACTAAAAAGTGTACAGAATACAAAATCTCATTTACTTATTATTTGTTGACTAGAATAAAGCATTTGATTCAATAGAGCAAAATGCAGACTTGAAGGCTCTTCTCCAACAAAGCATCTATCAGACATATGTTAAAACCAGATTCCCTGAAAAATGTAATGATGTACATGAGTATTTGATGAGCTTCTGATGATTAATATCAAGTAAGACTTAAAAGAGAGACAGATGCTCCCCAAAGGAGTTTCCCTCTGGCATAAAGGATTCCAGCACAAAGTCTGAATTAAAGATGGCTAGATAATGAGGTTTCCTTCATCCTGACTGTAGATAGCAAATGTGATGGCAAAAAGCCCTGGAATAGTGCAGTCTCTAAAATGAGATCTATAATGACTTTGAAGGGTACGGTCTAACTTTCCACACAAGAATGTCTGTTATCTAGGTAATGATATGCAATTGAATGGCCAATCTATAGATCTGATCCATTAATATACTACCTTGGGAAGACAATCCAAATAGACGATGATCTGGACCCAGGATTGAATATAAAGAGAAGAGTGAGATAACTTCCTTGTGGGAGATTGCATATTTGGAAAAATTCATAGTTCTTTCAGTGATCTAAAGCTGTTACCATCTTTTTAACACCAATATTCTCTCATGGTGGGTATGAATTTAAATTGTGGGTATGAATTATGCAACTGTACCAACTGCGAAGAATCAGAATTTCAGTGACCCAGATGGCAATGGAGAAATACATGTTGTGTATAAATGGGATGTAGTGTATTTCTAACAACTGATGTGAGAGAAGTGCCACAAAAGACATCTTTAAGGACATATATAATCAGAAGAAAGCTGGGCTGGTCAAGTGACCAGAACAAGGACTAAATGATGAAAAGTCCAAGTACTGCATGAATACATGCAAAATATTAAAGAGGATATATCCTCTATGTTAGATTTATGGAAGGACATAAATGAAAAGTACACAGAATAAGGTGTGGATAAGTCATCATCAACCCTAGCAGAAGACCCAATAAAACTGGGTCTCTGTGTCTAATTGACAACATTTGCAAGGTCAAAGGAACACTAACATATCAGTGGATCAAGGAGCCATGGAAATATAAATTTCTCTGAAATAGAGCAGTCAAGGAAGTTCTACTGGTGGCTGTTCTGCTCAGGCTTATTGGGGAATAATTTTCTAAGACGTGAAGGTGAGGACAATAGGAGAGAAGTTAGGGCTAAGGTTTTATTTCAAGATATTAGGGGAACTTTCTTTTAGAAGTTGCAAAAAAATTCTCTAAGAACAGAACATATGACCACATAATGCAAAAACAGCCTATTGAAAATTTTGGTGGTCATGCAACCTTATGAATAATAATAACTGATATTTGGATAGCACTTTAAAATAGCACTTTATGCATACATTATCTCATTGAAGCCAACTCTGTGAGGTAGGTACTAGGTAGATAGGGATGTTGGACTCCAAAGAAAATGTGAGCTCAAATCCTGCCTCAGATAGTTATCAGTTATGTGACCCTGAGCAAATCATTTAACATCTCAGCTTCAGTTTCTTCATCTATAAATGGGAATAAAATAATCACACCTTGCAGAACTGTTGTAAGGATCAAACGATATAATATATGTAAAGGTGCTTTGCCAACCATAAAGCATTTTGTAAATGTTAGCTATTATAGATATTAATTCAATTTTAGAGGCAAAAAAATAAACTCTGGTAGCTTGAGGGATTTGTCTTTGGTCACACAGCTAGCATCAGAGGCAGGATTGGAACTCTGATTTCCCTCTAAACAACACTGCCTCTCCTGTATAACTGCTTATACCTTCTTTGGAGAAGCCAAAGAATTCCTGTTGTCTTACGTTTTTGAAAGGTCGTTGATTGATAAGGTACATATTTTAATGTAAATGTGGTTGTTTTGTTATGCATCTTCCTTTAAAAAGTCTAATGGAACAATGGTCTGAGTCAATCAGTTGAAAAGAATTTGAAGTAATCCAGAGCTATTCTTACCCATTAAAATTTTTCATCTATTGTAAAAAAAAATGATCTTTTCAATCAAGTCAGGTATGCTTTGTCACTGAGACAAAAACAAGCAAAGAGACAGTATGTTCTGGGATTCTGGTCAGGAGCACCTGGATTAAAATCCTACTTCTGATATTTTTTTCCTTTGTGACCTTGGGCAAATCACTTAATCTCCATATGCCTCAGGCAACTCCCTAGAATTGATCTTGTAAGTGGATAAGCAGACTTCTCTGATAACTTATAGGCATTATTTTGATATAGTTTTCATACAGGGAGCAAGAGCACTGAGTACATAGTGACCAGCTTGTCTATCTGACCTTTAATCTACCTTACCCCTTACTTGCAGGTTTAGTACTTTTATAGACCCTGGGATTTAGTGACCAGACAGGAGAGCTATGAAAACCCAGCTCAGGCAACAAAAGGTCAGTTTTTCTGCTGGTCTAGCTCTTGCCTTATTGCCTAATTCTAGTAACTGTGCCCTTTCTCCTCCTTCCACTCCCAGCCCCTAAATCACTTTAATTTCTTCTTTCTTAATTTCCAGTTATTACTGGATATTTGTCTTGGTCTTTCATACCTAAGTTGCTGTGTTAATACATTGCTCCAGGCTTCAGGGTCTTCAGGACTGGGGGCACTCCCTGCTTCTCACTCATAGGAATTGGCAACCTGCCCCAATCCAAAGACTACCATTCAGAGGCCTACCTTCTATCAGACATCCTGATATCTATTGCCTGCAGCTAGGTAACTCTGACAACCCTTTGGTATGACTGCCTGATGGCTAATTGACAACTTTTCCAGATCTTTGTATGGCTTGTTGTCATACTGTGCTAATGCTTCATCCACTGGTCTAGACTTCCTTTTGCCATGCTGGGATCCACTAAAATCACCTATCTTGTTCCAATCATCCCAAGCTTAACCATCAAACTATTCACTGAGCCCTGGAATTAATTATTGTTCAGGTAGAAAAACAAATAAGAAATAGTGCCTGCTTTTTAATTGAAGTGATAAATCAATTCAAACTAGTTTTTGTCTAGACTCAGCCTTAGTCAAAGGTTCTCTAATCAGCTTAACTTTCCAGGGTTTCATCAAAAAGCAACCAAGAATATGTGTGTTGATTTCCACAAGTCTTGCCCTCTGACCCAGCGTTGATTATCAGACTACCACTTACCTCTTTTGAAGCAAGGGAGAGTCTGAAATCACCTTAAGTTCTTACAAAGGCTGTCCTAGACCTGGTACCTTCATTCCAAAATCCTCCATGGGATCGCAGGATACAAAGAGGTGGTTTTGCCTTTTTCTCCTTTTTTTTCCAGCCTTTGCTAAACAAGCCTGAAACACAAGCAAAGACAGCACAGTCAGAGCTATCTCAGTGTGGAGGGAGGGACAGCTTTGAAGATCATATGCTCTATAACTATCTTGGTCATTTAGATGAATTCCAGAGTGGGTTTCAAATGGTTCTCTACCCTTGTTTCTGTGATAAAAGGAAGACTTGGGTATTGTAATTCTCCTTTTTAATATATGATGAGGCTGTCCATTTTGTACACGTTATTGAGATTTTCTTTTCTTTAATTGAAATCACCCTTCTTGAATTGAAAAACAAGTGTTTTCACATTCAAAGAAAAAAGATGTTCAAGCATCTGTCCTCTTTCTAATACATACTTAAAATTATACACACACACACACACACACACACACACACACATTCACATACACACATTCAAAAGGTAAGGGAGTGCCATTATAGTACCGAAGCTCATATAAAAAAGTACAAAGGGAATGCTTTACAGAATGACAATGTAGTAAGCCAAGCAGTACAATCAAATACATTCTGCTTAGCAGCTCCAAAAAATAACTGGAGCCCTATCATTGCCTCTGTACCTTTTCTAATATTGCAAGAAGAGTCACTGGAGGGAGTGGCTGGATAAGGCGAGGGAGAAAGGAGAAAGTGGTGGGAAGAGGGATGGAAATTGCCTCCAAAGGGAGGCATCTTGATGGATCAAAAAGAGCACTCTATGAGAAGCCAAGAGCCTTGGGTTCAAGACCTGGTTCTGCCATTAGTTTATGACATTAAGCAAATCACAACTCATATGTGCCTCACTTTCCACACTGGCAAAATAAACCTAATGTTACCTGACTGTTTGAGCAGTCTTGCATGGTGTGATTGGAAAGGTACCTAAAATATGCATCCATCAAGTTCTGAAATTTTACCATTTAGTAATTGAATCATAGGCTCTTAGAGATATAAGCATCCAGTCCAAATTCTTTGTTTCATAAATGAGGAAACCTAATCTCTTCTCACTACAAAAGTCTCACCTGAACCATACTCCGCCAGCTTTTGCCAGCACTGTCTCCGATTCCTTTCAGCTCCTGGTCTGACTGCATTTAAACTACTTTCCAGCCCACTTTGATGCCATATCCAACAGTATTTCATTTATTTCCAAGACTTCCTAACTATTCCACCTGTCATGGAGTTGCAGTCACTTGATCAGCTAGTGGTGAAGAATGGAATTCAGAGCCTTACTGAACAAAGAGCAACGTCTCCATTCCTCTCTGTGTTCTAAGCCTACAGCATCTCCAAGTTCTCTGCTGAAAGAGAGTCCACGACTCACTATCATGTTTCATTACTGCCAGGCAGAAGTTCTTACTAAGATTAAGCTATGCCTTTCTTGCTACACATTTGTCTAGCCAATACGGATAGAGCTGCTGAGGGCTTATGTAGTAGTGCCTGCACTAATAGTTGGACACAGAACCATGTGAATCACTCAATTTCATTTGAAACAAATACCTCTTTTTTTAGCTTTTGGAATTACTTCATGTCTCCTCTTTGTCTTTCTGTTTGCTTATATTTGCGTCTTCTAACTATATTTAGCCCCAAAATGGCAAAGTTGTAGGAAACCAGTCAGTATGGGGATTATGTTTAAAAGGAAGTAGCTTGAAATCCACATCAATGGAATATTCCATGTTCTCTGTTTTGTTAACATTCATTTATTTATTCAATACCTGATGAGTGTTAAATAATATCTAGGCACTATGGGATAAAAGTGAATTAGATATAGCCCTTGCCCTCAAGGAGTTTACATTCTAGTAGGGAGATAATTTGTTCAGAAATATAATAAAAAGCAATGTATTGTCAATATCTCTGACAGCGATATAGCACATACAACATAGTGGGGTACACTCCAGACTTAGCAGATTCAAAACCACTCTCAAGAATCCATCAATCACCTGGACCATGTGAGAGAAGACTAGACATATAACAACAGTTTATATTGATAAGCACCATTCAGTAGGGTGACTATATTTATTAGTAAAGCCCAGAAGTTCATTATCTGTCTATTCATTTCAGGACAATGGGCCCCACTTAGTTCTGGTTATCATACCCATCCATCTTGCTTCCTCATTTTACTGAGGTTACCCAGTGTACTCTGGTTCTCCAGGCCCAGAACCTGACCTCTATTGGCATTGTGATGGTCTGACAGTACTCAAGACCCAAAGTACGCAGCCTCTGTATTTAAGGGGGATTTGCCTCTTTTTATTGATACGTGAGTCCTGCATAAGGACATAGATGTTAGTTTATCTAAATTCTCAGGGGTCTGTGTCATACTTTGGAGAGTTTATGATCCTTTGTGGATGGTTTTGTGATCTGTTATAAGGCTTGACTCACACTTTTATCTCAGAGCAAACTTAAATTGAGGTCTTACACAAGATAGGTAAGAGTAGAACAGATGAATGAGTTGAATGTGACATGTAACATGTATACTTTGGCTCAATAGCCCAGAGCTAGGCCAGCTACAACTGCTCCCTCAGGATTCAAAAAGTACTCCGAGGAATTGGTTTTTTTCTTCTTTCTGATGCCATTGGCTCAAGTGCCTTCCCCCTTTACACATACCCTTTGTGTTCTCCAAACCTTCAGATGCCAATGACTAACACCCCAGTTTCATTTAACCACTTAACAATAATTAGCTTTTACAAAGGGATAGTTACTTTTAAGATATAGGAAGAACACAAATATGAACATTTCCCCCCTACATCTTGAGGAAACACTCCTCCCTGTACCATCCTGGTGTCTTGTTGAGAGTGCAATATCTCAGTACAGTTTCTGCCTAATATTGCTCATATCCAGATGTGGCATAATTGATAGCCAGATGAGTCCTCATCCTGGCTACTTGTCAGCTGGGTCCTAAAGGCTGCTCCCAAAGATCATTCCTTAATACTTGGGGTATTGATGCTGAGCTGGCTGCAAAGCCCTAAGCTGAAATGCTCACTTTCCTGCCTTTCCAAAACTAGCAATGTCAGAAACTCCAGAGTAATCTCCTTTACCTAAAATGGAAGAACAAATACCAAGACAAAGCCTCCATTTTCATGAGGCTACATGTTGGCTTCAACAAGGAGAGGACTTAAGTCTCTTCCCTTATTGCATGGCTCTCATTGGATGTCGTCAGCAAAGCGGTCAAAACAAGGGCAAGTAGCCAATGAGAGATAAAAAATGGCTGAGGCTCTGGTCACTGGTCCATTCCACCACCGTCCAAAGAGTCTCTTATTCACTACATGGTTAGCTAACCAGAATCAGTTACAGAGTACTTCCATTATAAGTCTGTCCACCTGAGAAGATGCCATCAGAGGTACTGTGTACACATGCCAGTCTCCAAATGAACATCAATTCATTTTTGCATAATGCTATGAGTTTGTTCAAAAAGAACAGCTAAAATAATAATAGTAAGTTCCCTCCCAACTCAATAAACTCCATTGTCTCCCTATTACCTCTAAGATCAGATATAAAATCTTCTGCTTGGCTTTTAAAGCCCTCCACAACCTGGCCCCGTCCTACCTTTCCAGTCTTTTTACTCTTTACTCCCCTACATGTACTCTTTCATCCAGCAATACTACCTTCATGCTGTTCTTCACACATGACACTCTGTCTCCTGACTGTCTTTTCACTGGCTGTCCCCCTAACTCCTGAAATGGACAGATATATCCTCACCTCCATCTCCTGGCTTCCCTGGTCTCTTTTAAAATTCAGCTCAAATCCCACTTCTTGCAGGAGACTTTCCCTGGTGGTCCTGCAACTCTGATGGCTTCCCTCTAAGATTATCTTTTAATTTGACTGTGATGGAATACTACTGTGCTATAAGAAATGATGAGCTCAATGATCTTAGAAAAACATGGAAATGCTTGCACAAAATAATAGTGAAATAAGCAGAACTGAGAGAACATTGTATACAATAACATCAATATTGTTTTCAGAACAATTTTGAGTGATTAAGTCATTTTGACTATTATAGATACCCAAATTAACTATAAAGGACATATGAAGAAAGGTGCTATCTACATTCAGAGAAAGAACTGATAACTAGAAGTATGTATAGAATAATTTTACATGTATATGTATAGATATACATATATGTATATATGTATGTGTGTATACACACCCACACACCTATCTTGTGTCTAATGGTAACCATCTCTAGGGTAGGGGGGAGAGAAGAAAAAAAAGAAAAAGAGAAATTTGCACGATAACTTTATTATATATTTAAAAGTTGTACATAATAGATTTGCATTTTCATATGCAATCATCTTTTTATTATATTATGTTATGGAAATGCTTGTTTTGTTCCATAAATTAAAATTTAAATTAAAAAATGTTTAAAAACTTATACTGTAGGTACCCAGGTACCTGTTTGCATATGGTCTCCCTAACTAGAATATGACCTTGAGGGCAGGGAACATATTTTTGCTTTTCTTTGTATTCCCTGCTTCTAACACAATGCTTGACACATAGTAAGCACTTAATAAATGCTTGTTGACTGACTGATGACTTTAAGATTTAAAAAATCCTCTCCTAGGAACAACTCTGTAAGAGAGACAGAGACATCATTGGGGTGGTGATATTTACCTAAGTCTTGAAGAGTGGGAAAGGTTTCAACAGGTGGATATGGAGCACACCTCAATTCAAGAGAATGGAGAAGGCAGGGGCAGAGAAATGGAGGTTGAGGCAGGGGAGATGTTCAGGAGATGATGACTATTCCAAGGCTGTTGGAGTACAGAGTACCTGTGGGGAAGCAGTTAGAGTTGAGGTTGCAAAGTTAAGTTGGAACCAGGTTGTGAAGGAGCTTGAATGCCAGGCTAATAATGATAATACTAATTATATGATGCTAACAAATACTTATAGACAAGTTATGATTTACAAAACACTTTATACACATATGGATGTTATTATTTTACAGAGGAGAAAATTGAGGTTTATGAGGTTAAGTGACTTGCTTATATTTGCACAGTTAAACAAGTGACAGAGACAGTTGTTTGAGCAGAGGTCTTCCTGAGTTCAAGTCCAACACACTTTCCATTGTGCCTTTCCAAGACTAAGGAGTTTAACATTCCCTGATAGAATGTAACTCTTTGCATGCAGGGACTCTTTACACTTTGTCCTGGTATCCTCAGCACCTAGAACAGTGTCTGACATACACTAGGTGTTCAATAAGTTGTTGATTAATTTGAGTGACTTTATTCAGTAGGTAATCAGTAACCATTGAAAGTTTGAGGAGAGGAGATGAGTGGCATGATACATGTGTCCCTACAACAATAGCTTATGAATCCAATAGTCCAGGCTACCAATACAAAGTGTAACTCCTCTGTGACTTAGTAGAATTTTTTTTTAAATTTGGCTAGGCAGTGGGGTTAAGTGACTTGTCCAGGGTCACACAGCTACTAAGTGTTATGTGTCTGAGGTCAGATTTGAACTCGGGTCATCCTGAATCCAGGGTTGGTGCTCTTTCCACTGTGCCATCTAGCTGCCCCTTAGTGGAATGTTTTTGAGAGTTAATGTGGCATATGCATATGTACGTATACATGAATATGTATATGCATGTGTCTATGAATGTGTATATGTATACATATATATCACCTTGTGGCCAAACTAATGAGACTTTCCAAACTTAGGTAGGTGAATCCTCCACTGACAGGCTTATAGTCCATCATTGTACCTACACTATGCCCAGAGCTGTGCTTTAGGAAAATTAATCTGGCAGCTGTGTGAAGGATAGGTTGGTGATGAAAAGGATTGAGGGGTAAGGAGACCAGTTAAGAATCTATCAGAATAGATCAGGTGAAAGGTTTTGAGTGTCTGAATTAGGATGGTGGCAGTTAAGATGCAAAGCAAGGGATGGGAATGAAAGATATTATCAACCATTGGTAACTGGTACTAAAGCAAATATTGGGAATTGAGTGGATGTGTGGGGAAAGGGAGTGGGAGAAGTTTTGATCTGGGGGAATAGAAAGAGAGCAGTGCTATTGACAGAAACAGAGGAGTTGGAAGGAAGAATTGGTCGTTTCTGCACACACATCTCAAGAAGCCAGCAGCCTACAAAAAACTTTACCATCCTGGGAAGAATACTGGGAAGTAACTTATTTCCAGGCTGTCAAATTTTCAACAGCTTGTCAGTATCAGGGCAGTAATTCATAAA